TAAACGATATAGAAGCGTATAAAGAATCGTCCCGGGCGGTGACTGCTTGTTTTATTTGTAAAGATTTTTCACGGCATCAGCGGCCATTGTGCACGGTGTTTTTGTGTTGTTTTTTGTGTGCCACGGCGCAGTAATAGGCTGGAGTTCGAACTTGTGTCGACAAGACTTAACACGCCTCTCGATTTGTTCTTTAAAGTTTGCATTATATTATGAAATGTGTATGGAAACAAATTTGCACGATCATAGCTTAATAAATAAGCTTATTGCAAAGATATCATGTTGACATTTATAACTCGACGCTGTAGAATTTAATTAGAATTCAATAATGAGTACTTAATTAAGCAATTAATATTTTAATGGTATTAAAATTAATTAGAAATCTTTATTAGTAATAAATTATCTCTTAAAATTGTGTAAACATTTCTACAATAATCATGCGCAAACGCACGCAATATAATAGACATAAACGCGTTAGCGCAACTGCCTTTCTCCTAAGAGGCAATTGCGCACAAAAATGTATCACCGACCATCAGTAGTAATATAATTTCCTGTCCTTTATTACTTTTATTGTGAAAAATACACATTCCACCGCCAAAGTGCCTTCTTATTGAGTACGCGATAAATACAATAAAATAGGACCCGGCGCCTTCCGTTAGGCCTCTTTTCAAAGTTTTTTCAGCGCGAAATATTTGTCAATAATAAATGAGACGTCCCTTTTATTGCCACTAACATTCATAGCAGTGTGTAGTGTAGTCTGGGGCCACATAAATAAATTAGGCGTGGGTGTAAATGTAAGATATGGGCGGAGAACTCAATGTAGCTCTAAATTTACTTGGTGTTATGTGAAAGTATTCAGTTATAATTTACGTTTATTACATTCTCATATAAACAAAAGATCTTTGGTAAACATCTTTTCTAATTTCTAACGAAAGTTTTGAAATAACCTGTATTATGCTATCTATATATTTAACGAAATATTATACCTATACCTACTTAACAAATTTGTATGACATTTTTTGTTAATTTATAAGATTTAATTCTATACTTAGTTGTACATAATGTAGCTAATAGATTTTTTATCTGTGCAAATGGGCTTCGCAACTATTAACATTTTTAGATAGCCATCTGTGTTCATCAAACGACAACAAATTATAATAAATGAAACATCTGTACAATACCAGTGTTTGAAGAATCATTAAATTGTAGGTGCCATATTGATAAAATTATTTCGTATTCGTGTTTGGTATTTATTCCAGTATTTTTGGCCTAGGATTTTATTATATGTAAACTAAAAAGACAATAAAGATTAAAATACTACTTTTTGGGAAACATAAACCTACTTTTCTAATTTAAATATAAAATGAAACTGTTTTGTCACGGAAGAAAACAACGGTGCCACAGGGTAATAGGGATACAAAATAAGTGATAGTTAATTATTGTTTTTGTGGGAAACTGTCGCGGTGTTCTTGTAAATTGGACCGTTTTGTTAGAAGCCGCCGCTACACTGAGTTAACAATAAGAAGCGCGGCGGGCGGCGACGCGACCTACCAAAGCACCTCAATGAGTCTACCTGGATTATCTATCGGGTGATAAATTAAAAATATGGCATTTGAACAGCATTCATCATAGGAATGGGTCATTTTATACCCGCTTGAACTACATTGTTTATGTAAAGTGACGTACAAAGTTAGTATGCAATCGGCGTAGGACAGCCCTACCGTACGTAGAATAGAACGGCAGCTTGATGTTTGGAATTTCTTTTGTAATTTAAAGCAACCTAAAATGTCTGTTTGAATAATGTTTTTTAGTAGTCAAAAGAATAGTAGTTGCGTGTTTCTTATTTTAAATAAATATCGGTATTGTGTGGCATTAGGAATGGAATATGAAGTTGACGGACCGCGGTAACTGAAGCTGTAATTACTGTTTTTAGTAACAGCCACCTATAAGTATGGTTATGGATTATAGAACTTAGATAGGCAGGATTTTTTTAGGTAAATGAAATGGCAAAAAAGCTAATGGTAGATACGTTACAGTATAAAAGAGATCACATTATCAGGTGAAGCCCGTGACCTCATGCGTTGCCATTACAGGATGCGAGGCAAGGCATTTTAATACTTCAACAAAATGTCATGCCTCTTGTGTTGAAATTTTAGTTTCAGTTATAATTTCGTTTCATTTAGGTTGTGTTATAGGCCGTATAGGTGAGTTTATAGGCAACAGTTACTGTTTTCTCTTTTCTAGTGGCACGTATCTTAGTTGTCATTGCGATTACATAAAAAAATATATACTAAAACGTTTTTGTTTACATATTTGTCTTTTATGACAAATAAAATCCGATTCACATACAATGGAATGAAGATACTTGAAGAATTAGAATAAGACTGTCGTTAATTGAATTTTATTAAGTTGTTACCTTGACCAGTCAGAATTAAGATAAAACGTGTACTATGGATCAATAAAACCTATATATCTGATTTTTATAACCACTTATTACATGCCATTTAATGTTTATCTGACAGTATTAAGATAAAAAGTATGCTACAACTTAATAATTATATGTATAAACCTACTGGATTCTAGATATACAGTATATTAGCGTGATTAAGTAACAACAGACAATCATAAATATTTGAAAATATGTAAGAGTACCAATATATTAATCGATTGGGTATTTTGTGTTTACATTTTTACACTATAGGAGTGCATTTAGTATTCATAAAAATGTATATCTTATCTACAATCTTCTGCCCACTCCGCAAGGGAGTAGAGTAAAGATAGAGATGTGTAGTGATACAGACGAACCGAAATAGAGCCGAATTCATCACAACAACCCAAACGAAATTGAGTTACTCGAATGTTTCTTATTTTGTTGATTTTCAGCAAGAAAATCTGATAACTAAATGGTCACTCCATTAAGACGAAATTCAATTAACCAAAAGTTTCTTGTATGGTTGATTTTCAGGAAGTAAATCCGATACTTAATGGTCACTCCATTATAGATTTATGACACAGTGTAGTATTAAGAATTTAAATAGTACAGTCATAAAAATGACGACTTTTGTGTAATGTTTGCTATTAGAATTACACAAAGTAGGATTTTGTATATATTTGCACTATTAGCAACCTGCTGTCTACCCCAAATGAGACTAATAAACAGATAGAGCTGAGTAATGATACCGTAAAATAGCATTCTAAAGTTACTTATTCATATACATTACATTTTATTGAATAGCACGATTTAGAATATTAAAGATAATTAGTAGACGTTCAATGCAAAGTTCCAAACAATTGCTATGTTCTTACAAATATTTCAGATGTTATTGAACTTTTGTATTCAATGAATATAATCAAAAGAACACGACCTCATCATACTCGTATATAAAGAAACACTTCTAGAGATCTCAGCTTGATTTTATGTTTATAAAAAATAAGTTGATTTAATATCGAGTGATATTTTGTAGCGTTTTGCGAGAACTTCGCCTCAGAGAGTGGATAAGCGTGGAGTGTAGTCTTGTTTAATTCGCAAAAGAACTAGTTCGCAAGAGCACTCGCAGAGACAAACTACGCAAACTAGTTTTAAGACTATCTGTTCTTAAGTTCATTAGTTTGATTGATAAAGTACATAGACATTTTTCTTAAAATATTGATTTGTGTGCTAAAAAGCAAGATACCGTATTTGCAGCTCAACAAAACAATAAAATAGGCGTAGAGGTTGTGAAGTCCACTACCTTTATATAACTTAAGTTAGGAGTGAACAAACTTATTCGCAATGAACCTAATGGAACTGAATAGAGCGCTCTGACTCGCGAACTATCATGTGCAAGACTAGTGGAGTGGCCACCAGCGTTCAATATCAGTGCGCGCGCAACGCCCTGCGGCACAGACTAGTCTGACGCTGCCTGTCACTACCAGACTCTTTTATGACTACAGCATTTTGTATAGAAACTTTCTTCATTTAGAATACAATGTTTTAAAGTTTCTGTATTTTATGATTTGTAAGATTAATCTATTTATTACCTTACCAGTTTTAATTAGGAATTCTTTTTATAAATAAATATAATTAGAGGCATTATTATGTACATATTATAAGAACCGAACAAATAAGAAAAATAATAATCTATTTGTTGGATTAATAACTTGCAATTAATGGAAATTAATAAAATCCTATTTTATATATATAGAATATCTAATAACACAATTGCTATTGATTATTATTTATTACTATTACTGATTTATGTTATCAAAAACATGTGCATATTTACGGTAGTAAAATTGCAGCATTCTGAGATAATAGTATATTATTAGAAAGAGTTCAGGAGATACATATTTACATAGTCTATAAATCACTCGTTTAAGTTAAAATATAAGGAAAATTAAAATAGAGTCTATTAATAAATATAAAAAAAACGAGTGGTCAATACAAGCTGTATGTCATGTTTCTAAGTTCAGGATGTGCCAAAAGCTCGAAACATTTTATATCGTGTTTTAATTAATATCATATCCAATTGTAGTATGATGTAAATGCAGTGGTGGTTTCATAATAAGATACAATTGATATTAATTAATCAGACTAGCTATAAGAGGCTGAATGCTTTTTATAATATTTATTTAACCGAATGTAGAGTCATTTCTTGTTCTTCTTGTTAAAGTATTAAACATTTGAATTTGATATGTATATAATAATTTATTTAGAAGTGCTTTCTTCATTTTACTGTAAAACATCATAAAAATTTAAATTGTTACTGCAACATTTTAAAAATATAATTACAAAGTCGCGTGTTCAAGTATATTTCTTGAAATATATGTAGAGTTTATATAAATGAAATGTATTTAATGTATAAAATGAGTACCCGTACAATCGAGTAATCGTGGCAAGAAAATTAGAATATTATTTATTTGTTTTTATTGTTGTTAATAATAATCTATTTTATGCGATCTGTCGCATCGGCCGGTGGCCATTTCTTACTCTGTGACATGACGGACGAGACAAGTATGGCCAGTACGGGAAGACGCACCGATGTGGGTGCACGCGTTTCGGTCGCTCATCACAACGACGAACGCGCGTTCGCGAGTGACCAATTAAAAAAAGCGCTTGCAATTTAAAAACTTCGTATTTTTTTGTGGCAATTGTGAACATGAAGTGTTATATTGTGGTGTTAATGGTGTTGGCGTGTGGCAGTGCCGCCTCTGCCGCCGCGGCATCATCATGCTCTGGCTCTGAAGGATTCTTCGCCAGATATAATGCATCAGCTGACGATAGCAATCAACCAGGTGCGACTTTTGATACAAATACCTTGGATTTATTGAAATCTGAATAAATATAAAAACTTTTTGAATTATATTAATAAAATATATAATATTTTTGATACCCAGTTGAATTTATGGTTTTAAAAAAAATATAGACAAGAATATTGTATTGAAGAAAAACCTGTAAGATAAAAATATTAACAACAAACTTTTTATGTTCTATAATTTCTATATTTATGTAAACGTAAAGATCGCTAACTGTGACTGGCAGGTTTACTGTATTTAGCTCGTAGGTGCTTTTATGAACTTATTTCTTTTATTGTATTCTTTATTACTTGTAAAACTCGAGCTTAATACTGTACAGCGTCGTGGCGCAGTGGGGTGAAAAACTGTGACATTAACAAACTTACTGTGTAATATAAACTGTTCTTCATAGATTTTTATGGAATCTATTGTCAATGCCTAGAAATATTATAAAAGTTCATATTGGATGATAATACAATAGTGCACTCGTGGAGAATAAGATCAGTATGAAGCCTGGTCAGTTAGTTCATTGCGACAAATTCAACAGGAATTAATCATAAATTATAATTTTCTTCAGGAAGTTCTACCAAGAACATACAGGAATAAAAACACGTCGTCGATAAACTTCATGAACATATGGAAATACTTGGATTTTGTTTTAAGATGATTGCAACTTCCATAAGTAGGAATAAAAATAAGTAAACTAAAAACTTTTATAGGCAAAGAACAGATTAAATAGAATTACTTATTTCAAATACAGTATAGCTTACAAAATATAAAAATGTACCAGTTACAAACAATAGTATGCCTAATAAATAGATGAATTTATCACGGTTTCATTACACTCGTATTTAGTGAAATCTTAACTATGTATCATCTCTGAAGTAATACGGCTGTTGTTTTGCCTGATCAACCAGTAAAGTAATATAAAACTACTTAAATTATACCCCAATACTTCATATTTGGGCGACACAAAAAAATCGTGTGTCACTTATCTAACTCTCTGCTGATGGGCACACCTTTAACAAACTATATATACCCAATTCGATTCAAATACACCCACCGGAATATGGCTGTCTTCGACTGCTCCATCTAGAATAATCGAGAAGGTATATATGTTATTACAAGTCAATAGCAATATCAAATAAATACCTGAATATAAATAACACTTAATCAGGGCAATTCAACTAAAATGGAACAACGGTGACTATTAAACATATAGATGCAAATATGAAGCTAAAAGTGCAGATAATAATACTTTATAAGATTTCTTATCTGTACCGCAGTACAAGTGGGGGTGTCGTATATCTGCGCACGCGCTGCTCAGCTGCCGTCTCTGATTACCTCCTTACATTCACAGCTGGTTAAACAATCCATTAACACTGATGCAAATCTCAGAATTAATAATTGAATGGGATTTTTTATGGATGATAATAGAATGGCGTATTGCCTGTGCTATTGGTTTACGCCGGTGCGGTATTAGTGGAAGATGATAAGATGAATATGAGGTCAGGACAGTTAGCTAACTGACCTGACCTCATATTCATCTTGTAATCCTTCACTGGGCACCAGTGAAGGATGGCCAGCATAAACCGTTAGCGCAGGTGCAGCATTCCATTATCATCAATTAAAAAAATATATATAGTTCATCATATTATTTGATCTGACATTTGACTGGGTGTATTTAAATTTAATATGGATGAAGAAGAACTGCTACCTCTCGAATAAATTTAGTTTACCATTTCTGATGCAATAATGGACACTCAGTTTTCTTTATCAGCATCTGGATAAACCGCTAGTCAGTCACAATGGGCCGACTGACCTCATGCTCATCTTACCATCCTCCACTGGTGTCCTGCAATAAACCGATAGCGCAGGCAATCGATAATCATCCAGAAAAAAATTGATAGAAGATAAGTACAATTTATTAGTGAATACAATTTATTAGTAAACATATAAACACTACAAGGTGGCCTTATGGCTGAAAACAATTTTTGAACTTAGGGTAAAGGATATAATTGTAGCAAATGGCGAATGGGTACTTATTATATTATTACATTATTATGATTACTTATCTTCTATTTCGGATTAGAAATCACTACTTTGTGTACAGCCGTTATTTTAAAAATTTGTTTTATTACAATCAGACTCTGCCCATTGAAGGATTAGGTTATTTATTATGTGTGAGTAATATTTAACTGAACCGAAAATATGACAATCTATTCATTTCGGTAAGATTTGGCGACTCTAGCAATTTATATTTAGCTCGACCCTCTTTGTCAAATGCCAATCGTAAATGCCAAGTGTTAGACATAATAAAATAAAGAAAAACAACATTTAATATTCTCGAATAGTACACATGTAGTGTACAAAACTAACAATCCGTAAACAATTTACAGCAAAAAATAAAATATATCTGCAAGTATTTACATGAATGATTATTAAAGACCATAAAAATACATGAGATATGGTCATTCATTCTGAGTTTTGTTGTTTAATAATTATTTGATATCATTTTCTTAGAAGTTCCACAATTTCGTTCCGAACGAATTTCATTCGATTCATATTTAATAAGGGAATGGAAATCGGATAACTTTGACATAAAATATTTATTGGGGATTCCAATATTTGATTTATTTAACATTGACATTAGTCTTATAACTTTTGGGGATGTTGCGAAAACATTGAAATACTGATATTAAATTAATTTATACTACAATACATGATTACCTACATATTATTATGTAAAATTAGAAAAAATCACGGGATCTTATTATTTTTATAGAGTTCCCGTTATTTCGGCAGTGTTATAAGATCCCATGATTTTTTCCAATTTTACGTAGAAATAATGACCGTGTCAAATTTAAAAAATATATATTACTACCTATAAGTATGTTCATAGATTACGACTGCTATTCCAAATGGGTAAGTCAGAAGCATTTTCAACTATCGACCCCGTGGTGAACTCTATATTTACTCAAATTTCCATAGCCTACTCTCAGATTACTTTTGTTCCTAGTGTTTCATTAATAATATAGTTAAACGGATTTTAACACGAATATTTTTATGATAAATAAAGGTTTTTACCTCTCTCTACATTTCAACTAGGTTGCCGTAGCAGTAGTTACGTGCTGACTAAAAATAAGAGTTTCCAGTATCGGAGAGTCAGTCACAAATATAACTTGTCATTTAAAGATTGCCACAACGCTCTCAAATTAATATTTTTTGTTAATGTTTAATTAGATTTAGATGTATAGAGTATGATTTTAATTCATAATTCTATGTAGAACATTATAACTAGACTGCTGTATTGATTGAACATTACATTACGGGTCGCCCTTCAATTAAAGACATTCGTAATCGCAATGCCAGACTATTTTGTGAGGAGCTTTTGTTTTATTTCTGTTTAAGTAATGAAAACATTTATAGTGCCTTGTAATTTTATTCAATTGAGTATCACGTATGTATGTACTTCATATAGACTATTACTAATACTACTGCTACGACTACTTATTTAAAAACATTCGCTTGTTGAGATTTCATTTACTATCTGTTGCTGACTTACAATCTAATATAAATAAATAAATAAAGTGTCTGTTTCTAATTTTAATTAACCGCATTTTACTAAATGCACATGAAAGTATATACGGTACTTACATAAAAAATATTTCTTCTTGCTAATTTTCTAAATGGCTGGACCGATTTTGACGAGAGTTTCACTTTACACTTTCATCTAACGTTATAAGAACTTAGCCTGTCTTATTTTAGAAATTTTATTTATTTTCATTCCACGCGGACGAGGTCACAGGTAACAGTTAGTATACGATAATATAAATAATTTACCATACAATAGATGTAATAATCAGTTTTAACAGGTAAGAACCTGTTAAAACTGATTATTACATACATAATGCAATAAATAATTATTACACAATACAGGAAGAGTATTTATAAATTATATGTATCTCTAGTATTGTGTGGTTGTTAGTAATCGTAAATAAGGATGAATAAAGTTCTAAATGGATTTGCTATTATTCATTTACCTGAAAATTATAATTATTTACTTTTATAGTTGCGGATGATCAATGTCGGAAAGTCTAATGTAGCGAAATCCTAATACTTCTGCTCTATGTATTTCAATGTGTAAATCTTGTATAAATGATACTACATATATCATCATTTAGTATTATTAAGTACCATTATTTATACATTAAAAGTACATGATAGTTTAAAATATTGTTAATGCTGTAGAAATTTAATAGGCACTATTCAATTTCTATTAAATTTAATTTACATTATCTAAGTTGTTTATTATGAAAATTAGAATGAAACTTACATAAGTAGTGTAGATACGGTTATAATGGTGTATATGTACTATATTTTAATTATTTTTTCTTTGGTGACATCTGTCTGACATCATATATATAAAATTCTCGTGTCACAATGAAACGACTTGACCGATTTTTAGAAATTTTATATGCATATTCCGTAGGTTTGAGAATTCTATCTTATATCACCAACCCCTATTTTTTTATAGCGTTATTAATTTATATGGCAAAACAACGTTTGCCGGAACAGCTAATATATATTATACAATTATATACTAATTCAGGTGGCACGATTACAGTATGTTTAAATGTATTTTTACACTGTTATGTACAACTTAACTATGTAACACAACCTACGATTGCAATAAATTAATATTTCTATTATTTTATTCTATTTTTTTATATATTAATGAATTAAGAAATGGGTAATGATTATTATTTCATATTTTGTAATAGAGCAACGGTTATTCTAGTGTTTTAGGTATTGTTTATAAGTCACCATTGCAATACTATTGAGTTGTATAAATGTATCATTATTAGTAGGTACCTAACGTATCCAGTATATACTTTGCTTTACATTTCCGTGGTTATATGATATCAGCGATGAATCTCAAGGACACAGAATGTATTTTCAGTAACAAAGTGTCATACATGTACAATTATAACCAAACA